TCTATCCTGCATGCAAGTCCATGGACCATAACAAGGTGGTAGATGTTGCTTTTCAGCATTTCTTTACCAGTGGACTGGCTTGGATCTGTGAAATGATGGTTGAAGAATGCTGTCCTAGAGGAGTCTTGAATGAAAAGATGGAAAAGAAGTATCACTGATGGAGGTTTTAGGAGGATGTGATGAGAAGAAAGACCAAACCAAAGATTTGGGGTTAATTTGAGAAGTCCTCTTCAGTTTTATCACTTGTCATCCCATTGATCATCGATTTGCTCAAGCAAGCACCAGTAACATCTCCATTCATCCCTGTCGCATGTCAGTGTAGCCCAATGGCATGTACTCACTCCAGAAACATGAAGAGCCTCAAACCAATTGTTCAGGATTTTGATGAAGAAATCTGACCATCTCATAGGTGGGCGGCCATGCGTCATTTTGACATCTCGTGAAATCCAGTCGGTAACAGCTCTGGTCCAGCGGTCGTCTCTAAATTGCATGACGTGTCTGGTCCATCTGATTTTCGATGTCTTGGCAAACAAGACAGCATCTCTGATTCTTGCTAGTTGATGGAGGTTGGAACTCCAGATTCTTACTCTCACTCGAGTGATATTCCAACCATAGCTTTTTCAATACCTCTTTGGGATATCTGAATAGCGTTCTCATCCTGTTTTTGTAGGGCCCAGGTCTCTGAGGCATATGTTAATGCAGGAAGAATGGTGGAGTCAAAAAGATGTGCCCGGAGACGGAGTTTCTTTGTCTTCTTAACAACTTGTTCGATGCTCTTGAAGGCATTCCATACTACTATCTTCCTCCTGAGCAGTTCTGGTGCCAAGTCATTCCTCATGTTGAGTTCTCGACACATAGCTGCTGCATTCAGAGATGTTCATTCATTGAGAGCAAATGGAACATCCGTTTTTCATGAATAATGTCTTGGTGAGATTCAGCTGCAGTCCGACCTTTCCACACTCATGGTCGAAGTTGACCAGCATTTGTGCCACTTGGCAAATGTTTGGTGTTATTACAACGATGTCATCAGCGAAGCGGAGGTGGTGTAGGTGCCGACTACCTATCTTCACTCCCATTTCTTCCCATTTCATTCATCACATGACATTCTCAAGGGTGGCACTGAAGAGTTTTGGTGAAATGGTATCACCCTGCTGAACCCCTCTCTTAATGTCGATGGTCACTTCCTTGTAGAATGGTGAGATCCTGATCCTGGTAGTGAATCTGCAATACAGCTTGTGGAGGATCCTGATGTACTGAGTTTGAATGCCCTGTTTGGCTAGGGCTTCAATGACTGCTTCAGTCTCAACAGAATCAAAGGCCTTCTTTAAATCGATGAATGTTAGACAGAGCTACTGGTATCTTGAACTCTCGAGAAACCTCAATGAGCTTGGTCACATTCAGCACAATTGACCATATCCCTGTGGATATGGTCAATTGTGCTGAATCCTTTTTGGAACCTGCCTTGTTCGCATGGTTGTCCTTCATCTAGTGTTCTGCCTATTCTATTCAGGATCATGCGAGTGAATAATTTGTAGATGATGGACAATAGACAGATCAGGCAATAGTTGCCAATGTTGTGGATGTCTTCTTGTACAACAGAATGGTCCTGCTGGTTTTCCAGAAACCTCGCGTTCAGACAGGTACCATGTGAAGAGCCGAGTCAGTGTATTGACGAGTACTTGCAGCAGATTCTTCAGGTGTTCAGTCCAAGTGTAAGAGAATTCCTCTTACTTGGATTTTTAATTTTTTTAACCTTGGTAATTATTCTGCTATGACTGGAAAGGAATTTTGTTATGGGGACTCTGGGAATTAAAGCAAAAACTATTCCGATGTTCACTCTTCTTTAAGAATTGCATTTCTGCAAGTGTGCTAAGATCTGAAAACTTGTCAGCATTTTTGGATAGAAATTGCTCTATGGGTTGCTGCAGAGGGAACCTGAGAACACACTGGTCTCTGGTTAATATTGTTACTTAACTATAAAATGTGTTCAAATTTCTCTTCAAATTAGGTCATAGCGAATTCCTTCATTAACCAAATTACTCAGTTCATTAACTCAGCTACTCGTTATTGCAGAAAGCACTTTTTGTAGTCCCAGTCAACTTTTTAGTGCTTCTGATACTAAATTCACTGATATTAGTGGAGAATGGAAATTCCTTTGTGGGAGCCAAAATTTCATTTTTGTTTAAATAAGTTCTTTAGAGGAACAAATGGGAAAAGACTCTAGATGTTGTGTGAAAAGATCTTAAAACTGGAAAACAATCAAAAGTTAAATCTTTTTTCTGAGTTAATTTCTTTTTTGTTTTGTTTTTGTTTTGGGGTCACACACAGTGATTTTCAGGGATTACTTCTGGAGGTACTTGGGGGATTGTATGGGGTTCCGGGGATCAAACATGGGTTGGTCATGTGCAAGGCAAGTTCCTTACCTGCTGTACTATCTCTCCAGTCCCACTGAGTTTAATTTCTTGACTTAAATATTCATATTGTAATGCCTCTGGTGTTGCAAGTTTTATTCATATTATAAAACCACCAGCTAGTCTGATATTTATGGCATGTGTTTTCTAGAGTTGTAATTGGTTTTTTCTTGTTTCTTTTTTTTCCCCCCTTTTTGGTTTTTGGCTCATGTACAGCCGTTCGGGGACTACATCCATCTTGGTCATCTTGCTGCTTGGGATGGCATTTCTGATGACCAGGCAGTGCTGGGGATCAAACCTGATTCTCATGGAAAGCATGCACTGCAGTTCTTTAAATTATCTGCCCAGTTCCCACGCTGAGTTTTTATAGTAAAAATAAGATTATGAAACTGAGAAGTAAGGAAGAAATTAATGTAATTATGACTTAATTCCAAATAAGACTTTATGCTCAAATTTGTTTATGAATTCCACATGGCATTTTTGATATATTTTTCTATCACATGGCATTTCTTAATTCAGGGTATTTATACCCATTATAATTAGGTGATTCCTCATTTCAGAATTTCAGGAATAGCTTAAGAAACAGAATAGAGATCATATATATGAAACCAATGTTAAAAATGATTTTTAAAGTGTTCAGTTCTTGGATTGAAACATAAAAACAGTATTTCCAAATGTTTGCAGCACCCCCTGCTGACTGTTTTGTGGTGTTTTTCTGAATAAAAATAACATCTTCAGGTATATAATAATCTTTTAGGGATACAGAATATTTTTTAAAAGTTATTTTTGTTTAGAAATATATTTATCATACTTAAATAATAAAATTTCCGGTGAAAATAAATGGAGGGGAGTCCTTGCCCCAAATGTGCCCACTTTGTTCTAAATCATCTTACCATGAATATTCTTTGTACATAAATCCGTGGGCGTGTTTTTTGTTTTATGTTGTTTTATAAGTATGCCAAATGGATGCCTTGCAATATTTACGAAACTTTAAGTAGAAAACTTTGAATCTTGTAAGACTTCTCTTAAGAGGGGTTGGGAGTAGTGAGGACATGGAATTCTAGCAGAATAAGGACTGAAATCATGATTGGTTCCCCAGTTCTGATTCAAGCCACAATCTGCAGTATATTAGGACCCTACTCTAAGGAACTTTATCTTGGCAGAAGAGAATTAATTAAGAGAAGCAGAATTTTCTGGTGAATGCCACGTGAAGCAGCTGTGTTAGTTTCTTAAGTTTCTCAAGAAACATGCTGAACTAAACACACAAAGACCATTTACTAAATGACAAAGTGAGTTGAGTGACCGAAAATTAGGGCCGTTGGTTATGTGCATGGAATAAATTTTAGGTGAGATCCTATCCTAATTTAACTATAAACTTACCTTATTTAAATAAAAGGCTTAATGTTCTGTGATATGCGCACTCTTCACTCACTAAAGCAAGCTTCTTGGTCCTGAGGTGTCCTAGCTTGCTTTGTATTCTCCTCCACATTCACACTGTATTGTAATGGATGGTTTGCTCATTCGTTTTCCCCACAGGGTACTGGATTAATGCTTATTGGATGGATGAATGGATAGATGAGTGATTGGGTGAGAGGATTGATATTGACTGTAACAGGGCTGGGGAAATAATTTTGATTCATCCCTGACCTTTAAAATTCTTTGATTTTGGTAGTAATTGCTCACTTTTGTGTAGATATGTTGTGTGTGTTATTTTGGCTGACAACACATGGATGCTTGAAGTATATTAAATAATAATTTTTCTAATAAAATATTATTCATATGAAATGCATTATCCTGAGTGAATAGGAAAGTTTAGTGACAGGTTGTTTAAAAGTAGTTGTAGCTTATTAGTCTAAGCAGCTACTCTGACAATATTAAGATCTATTGATAGACTTTTCTAAGTTAAAGTCCTATGGTTTTACATTGCTATGGTCCTTATGTAAAAATACATACAATCTATTAGTACATGTTGACATTATAATAACAATGAATGTGTAAGTAATCTTTATAAGTAAGCAGATTAAAGTACCTTAAAATAATTACCTTAATAATGTCCCCCTACAATAAGAATATTAATTTTCATATTATTCCTTTATAGCAATATAAAACCAGTTCATCACAAAATTAATATTAACACAAGCCCTAGTTTACAGGATGTCTATTTTTATATTGCATTCTAAAACTTAAGTTTGACTTGTTACATCTGAAGTTATTTTAAGATTTTAGTACAACAAGTAATTTTACTTCAATTTTACCTCTCACCTATCATTTTAGAGTTGAATTAATAGTATCTTCTCAGATCTGTAAAAATTTCTATTTAGATGTTATAAACTAGATGACTTTGGCATGTACCTAGATTTAATAAATGAGGAAACTTGGACTCAGAGAGATTAGACAAATTTTCCAAGCTCCTGGTGACTGGGCTATGTTTCCTGATTAACCACCCAGAATTTTTCCATGTTGCTTCCCAAGAAAAGGACAGAGAGCAAAATTTGCTTATCACATAGACAGGAAGGGTGTTTTGCGGCATTAATTAGCTTGTAGTGTCTCTGAACTTACATGTAACATATTCATAATTCTCTGTTGCAGAATGCAAAGTATGGCGAAATCCCCTAAATTTATTTCGAGGAGCAGAATATAATCGGTAAGTATTTTGACAGCTTAGGAAACAAATGGATCTAGTTCAGAGAGCAAAGACAGCAGCACATGTTTTTGCCAGTTCATTTCGGGGTCACTGCAGCAGTCTGTGCAGTGCCTCTACTCTTCAAACCATCTTCAGATGATTTGATATTTTGGCTTTACAAATATCTTAGCATTGGAATTGGGATAATGTACAGAATGTGTCCTTTTTTTTATTAAAAATTTTTTTAATAGTGAGACATCATGAGGTACAGTTGCAGACTTACACATTTTTTTGCTTGGGTTTCAATTATACAATGATCAAACACCCATCCCTCCACCAGTGCGCATTTCCCACCACCACGGATCCCAGTATCCCTCCCACCCCCCATCCCCCCCATCCCACCCTGCCTCTGTGGCAGGGCATTCCCTTTTGTTCTCTCTCTCTTATTGGGTGTTGTGGTTTGCAAAAGAGGCAATGGGTGACAATCATGTTTTTAGTCTATAGTCTACTTTCCGCATGCTTCTCCCATCCTGGGAGGATCCTTCCAACACCTTTATTTGGTGTTCCCTTCTTTATCTGAGCTCCCTTTTCCCCTAGTATGTGTGGTTGGCCTCCAAGCCATGGAGTAAAATTCCTGGTACTAATCTCGGCCATTCTTGGGTGGTAATCTCCTATTTTGTGACTTTATGTTCCCCAGATGAATGCAATCTTTCTATGTCTATCCCTTTCTTTCTGAGTCATTTCGCTTAACATGATACTTTCCATGTAGTACCACTTGTATGTAAATTTCGTGACAAAGTACTGGTTGAACTCCACAAAAAGAAAACATTCAACCCCATCAAAAAATGGGGAGATGAAATGAATAGAAACTTTCACAAAGAAGAAATCCGAATGGCTAAAAGGCATATGAGAAAATGCTCCACATCATTAATCATCAGGGAGATGCAGATCAAAACCACAATGAGATATCACTTCACACCACAGAGACTGGCCCATATCCACAAGAACAAAAGCAACCGGTGCTGGCGCGGATGTGGTGAGAAAGGGACACTCCTTCACTGTTGGTGGGAATGCCGACTGGTTCAGCCCTTTTGGAAAACAGTATGGACGATTCTCAAAAAATTCGAAATTGAGCTCCCATTTGACCCAGCAATACCACTGCTGGGAATATATCCCAGAGAGGCAAAAACGTATAGTAGAAGTGACATCTTCAATTGTCTGTTTTTGCAGCACTCTTTACAATAGCTAGAATCTGGAAAAAACCTGAGTGCCCGAGAACAGATGACTGGTTAAAGAAACTTTGGTACATTTACACAATGGAGTACTATATAGCTGTTACAAAATGTGTCCTTTTAATAAATTTTTCTATTAGTTATTTTCTGCATTATAGATTATACAGTTTAAATATCTTGAAGTTGACCTGGAACATGGTTATAAAGATGCCACAGGAGGCATGTCAGAATTTAATTTTGCAGAGCAGTTAGACAAATTAGAAGTTTAGAGCTTTCAGGAAATGTCTGTTCATACTACTAATCAAGGAAGGTTTTCACTAGCCACTGTTGGTAACATTTTAAGACAAAGATATGGCAAGAAGTTGACTTTCTCCCCTGCTGTTATATAGGAATGAAGGAAGAATGGGATTATTTAAATTTTATTTATTACTTATGTGTGTATGCATTTTGGGTGGTGGGGCGGGCACATTTGGTGCTTGAGGGCAACTCTCTGTAAAGCACTCTATCTGCTGAGAGTTCTTCCTCTGATCCAGGATTATTTTTTTTAAGAAAGAATTCTTCTTAACTAGCAGATGTAAAGTTGTCAGTGGTTATATTTCAACTGCTATCCAGTCTGCATTTTTTCAGGTCTTGCATTTCTTTCAAACATACCTGATCATGTTATTTCCTCTTTACAGGTATACTTGGGTGACAGGACGAGAGCCCCTAACTTACTATGACATGAATCTCTCTGCCCAGGACCATCAAACATTCTTTACTTGTGACTCAGACCATCTGCGCCCAGCAGACGCAAGTATGAAAAATCATTCAGGTGGTTGCTGAACGGGAGGGCTTTTTTTTGGTTTAAGTATCAAGGTTACTGCTTTTAGAATTTCCACTTACAAAAACCCAATGCTAAAATGTTTAACTGGAGACTTCCAAAACCCAGAATTCTGCTACTTAAGTAAAAGTTTCATCAAAGTGAACTCAACGTACAAATAAATCCCCCTCATTATAATGTGAAATATTATTTTAGAAATATACCAAAGTTGTACTTAAATATTTTGAAGAAATAACATCCTACATAAATCTAATGTAAATCTTTGGTGTGTTAAGAATGAAAGATCATGCCGAGATTTTGAATTCATTTTGATTTGACTTTTGTTCATGGCATTAGGGGTCTGAGTTCATTTTTCTGCATGCGGCCAACAAGTTTTCCCAACACACTATTTGAATAGTCTTTTTTTTTTTGCTCTACTTTATATTTTTTGCTCCTTTATCAAAGATTAAGTTACCTGAGTGTCTATTTCTGGATTTTCAATTCTATTCTATTGATGTAAGAGTCTATAAATTACAGAGAAGAAAATATAGGCAGAAGTCAAAATGACATTGACGCTAAAGGCATCTTCAAGGATGCAACACTATTGATCAAATAAGTGGAAGAAAAGATAAACAAATGGAACTACATTAAATTGAGAAGCTTCTGCACCTGAGAGGAAATGATGAACAAATACTAAGACACCCCACAGATTGGTAGAAGTTATTTGCCCATCACTCATCTGATAAAGGGCTAATATCCAAGGTATATAAAGCACTGGTATAACTTTATAAGAAAAAAACACCCAACTATCAAAAAATACGGAGAAAAGATGAACAGAAATTTTCTCAAGAAATACAAATGGCCAAAAGGCATATAAAAATTTCTCTATATTATTAATCATTAGGGAAATGCAAATCAAAACAACAGTGAAGTATCTCCTCACACAAGAGAGATTGGCACACATCAAAAAGAAAAACAACCAGTGTTGGCATGAATGTGGAGGGGGAAAGGGACCCTCATTCACTGTTGGTGGAAATGTTGACTGGTCCAACCTTTTGAGAAAACAATATGGACATTCCTCAAAAAACTGGGAATTGAACTTCTACTATAACCCAGTAATTCTAGTCCTTGGAATATCCCAAGTGCTCCAAAACATGATGCAGAATGACATCTGCACTCTTATGTTCATTGTAGCACTATTCACAATAGTCAAAATTTAAAAGAAAAAAAAAAGACTTTTCCAAGAACAGATGACTAGATAAAGAAACTGTGGTATACAATCAGCCATAAGAAAAGATGAAGCCATGCAATTTGCTGTGTTGTAGTTGGTTCTGGAGAGTATCATGCATAGTGAAGTTAGTCTAAGGGAGAGGGAAAGACATGGATATATATTTGCGGTATAAAGAAACATACTTGGGGAAGAATAAATGTTTAAAGGAAACAGAAACGAAGAGCGTGAGAACTGGTCTTCAGTAAGAAGCTTGCAACCTGGGGAGGGGGACCGGAAAAGGTCAGAGAAGAGGAAAAATAAGACAGTGGTGAAGGGAAGTGGTCATTCTGGAGGAGGATGTAGTGCTGAAAGCAAGGTAAAGTGATATATATGATACCATCTCAGCAACACTCTGTACACCACAGGGACTAACATGTAGCACTGTAGCACTGTCCTCCTGTTGTCCGTTGATTTGCTCGAGCGGGCCCAGTAATGTCTCCATCATGAGACTTGTTGTTACTGTGGCATATAGAATAGGTCACGGGTAGCTTGCCAGGCTTTACCGTGCAGGTGAGATACCCTCGGTAGCTCGCCGGGCTCTCCGTGAGGGGCGGAGGAATTGAACTCCGGTCAGCCAGGCCAGCCGCATTCAAGGCAAATGCCCTACTGCTAACATGAAGAAAATTAAAAAAAAAAAGAAAGGGTCTGTCTTCGAGGCAGGCTGAGGGCACAGGAGGGAAACTGGGGATATTAATGGAAGAAAGTGGACATTGGTAAGGCAATTGGTGTCGAACATTATGTGCCTCAAAATCAACCATTAATAACTTTAGGTGATTCAATAATAAAAATTAGAAAACAATGAAGAATCAGTTTTCCTTAATGATTTCTAGTTAGAAATAGGTATTCTGTAGCTCCGTACAGTTATATAGCATTAAATGAGGGTATGGCTTTGGTTATTGGAGTTATTTAGTATTTATGTTTTTCATCCAAGAGAGGACTATGTATCATGTATTTCACACTACATTTTCAAATAATTCTAATAGTGTTTTTGTATTCAGAATAGGCAGGGGAAAATCCTTAAAAAGGAATATGATCTATACATGGTCCTAAGAAACAACCTTTGGGGGCTGGAGCAATAGTAAAGTGGGTAGGGTATTTACCTTGCACATGGACAACCCAGATTTGATCCCCGACACCCTATTTGGTCTCACAAACTCTCCAGGTGTGATCTCTAAGCAGGACCAGAAGTAAGCCCCAAGCACTTCTGGATGTGCCCCTCACCCACCAAAAAAAAAAAATTAACAAAAAACAAGCTTTGAAAATACAAGTTATAAACAAATTGAGTAGAAAGTAATTACTTTCTTTAAAAGATGCTATTTGGCATGGTGTGGAACTTTAAACATAGTACACTAAATATTCTAAGCACTGGGCTTCCCCCAATATATTCTGATATATAAAGCCATGTAAAGAACAAACCTAAGACATTTTTGTTTTGAATCCAACTTGGGATTCTATATCCAAACTTCAAATGTTTGTATCCAGAATGTTTGTATCAAGTATTTGGGGAAATGATCATAGATTCTTTGCAGTATATAAACTACTATATGTTCTTCAACATAAAGTAATATTAATGAACAAGAGAAATACTAAATCTGTTAAAGTGCCTCTTTTTTTTTACTGAGACCGAATTAGAATATATTTATGTGATTTTGAGATTTGGGCTGATGTATGTGGTAAGTGAAAAATATTCTCCTATAATTCAAGATAGTGAATATTAAATGCTATTAAGTATAAAAGCTATTAGCTATCATTCTGCATTGACCTGAGTCTTCCTGATCATTGATTGACTTGTTTTTTCCCTCTTTTTCTAAAATAGTAATGCAGAAAGCCTGGAGAGAAAGAAATCCCCAAGCTAGGATTTCTGCAGCTCACGAGGCCTTAGAGATAAATGAGTAAGTGGGGGGAAAAATCTTCCTTTTAGAAAGGAAGGCTTATCCTTTACAGAAAATTTCAGTTGCCATTGCTGGGCCACTTAGATTAAGCAAGGTATTTGAACTCGAGAATAACTGTGTAGGGATATAATTTGATGAAACATTTTTGAAGAACATCTATGTGGAGGTGGTTTTAGTCATTTTAGAGAGCAACTCCAGGGCTGTGCTCAGACTAATTAATTCCCTCAAGGGCTATCCCTGGGTGATTGTGAGGACATAAAATCAAACAGTTCTTGACATATCTAAAGCATTTTGACAGGGACATATTTCCAGATGCAGAATAATCATCTGTTCCATCACATTTTCTAGGTAAAATGTCTACTTGTGGGGGAAATAATAAAAACATAAGGTGAAAAAAATGACACTTTAAAAAATATTTCAAGGTCAAGGCAAGGAGCAACTGCTGTCATTAGTGTTGTTAACCATTCTATGAGTTTCCAAGGAAGACTCGGAGGCCTCATCTGGAGGTCTCAGAAAATGACAAAGATTCTTAAAATTGGACTCATAAAAGCTCAGGGTTGGCAGAGACCTTAAAGGTCATTTAGCTCAACCACCCATCTGGTGCTTGAATCACCTCGACACTCTTCCTGCCAAATGGTCATTGTTAAACTATTTTATGAGTTTTTGAAGAAGGTTGCCGACTCTTCTTCAGAGGTCATAGAAAAAGAGATTCACTGGAGAGTTGGAAATCCTGCCATTTTAACTTCTTGATCTCTTTGGTTTCTGATTCTGTCATTCAACATATTTATTTTCCAGTTTCTTGTCATCTGCAAATTTGACATGCCTGCCTTCTGTGCGTCCTCCATGTTTCCGACAAACAAACAAAACAAGGACAGGGATAGAAGCCTGTAACATGACAAATAAGAAACCATGAACCCTCCAGGTTCATGTCTTCACGAATCATCCCCCTTTATTGTTGTTCAACCAGTTCCTACACCACCCTATTGTTCTGTGATTCAGCCTACATTTCTTCATTTTGAGCTTAAGGATGTCAGAGTTAGCAATGGATCTTCAATGCATAAAAATCTATCAGAGTACAAGCTGGCACAGACTGTTTATTTACTCCTAGTGAATTTAAACTAGCTTCTGTTGTTCACTACTTTTCTTTTGTAAATGCTAGATCATCCCTTTAATAATTCATGAGAATATCTTTCCAAGCACTTGGATTTCCCGATCCAAGTTCCAGAGATTGGGGAGTCTGCCTTCTTTCCCTTTGGGAGCAATTACTCTTCATTTCTCATCTCATCTTCTTTGTGCCTCTCCATTCTTTGTGATCCCTTAACTCTCCACAGAGAGCAGCCCCATGGCCTTCCTGTGTCTGTTGGTTTCCTGGGATGTTCCCATCCCAGCCTAGTAGTTCACTTAGAGTAGATCAGCTGTTTTCTGTCTTGCATCTTTTTACTCATTTTAGCTTTAATTTCTTCCCTTTTCTCTTTGACAATCATTTTCCTTAATGGAGAAGCCAGGTGCTATGTAAGAGTTAGAGTTTTGCATTTCCTTTTTAGCTGCTGCTAATGACTATATAGTTACCCTGTTTTGGTGTTGTTTTTGTTGTGTTGTTTGTCCTTTTGCTTATTTTGTTGATGGTTTTGGGGAGAAGGATGTGGTCATATGGCCTTAAACATAATTCAGAAAGAAGGAATAGATTGTTGCCTCTGTAGCATTTTATTTTATTTTTATTTTGCTTTGCAAGCTTCAACCAATTAGGAATTTTAGCCCTCCTGCCATTCTTAAAAATTCATTTCACCCTCTTAGAATCCTTCATTACATGGCTTCTTTCCATCTTTTTTCACTTGTCCTTTGAACATCCGACTTTATGAGAGATCTCTGTACAGCCCTGATGTTGCTTATTGGCTACCCCCCTTTTCTTCCTATCTGTGATTGCAGTTGCAATTGGACATTTGGAAGCTAACTAACCCCTTTAAATCATTTTTTCCTTCTAAGTCTCATACATTAAATCACGCTTCTTTTCTTTGAATTTTTTGAAGTCTACCTTACCCTCTTTGATTATCTAAGCTCCGAAATGACATAGTGACTCTCTCTAAATGTTCTATCAATTTTCATTTCACCAACTATTTTTTTCTTCTTGGTCAGAATTAGGTCCAGAGTTGAAGTTCCCCTAATTGCTTCCTCTACCATCTGGGAGATAAAATTGTTACCAAAGTAAGTCAAGAACATGTCCGGTGCCCTACTTCTAACCAAATGAGACTTCTAGCAGATATCTGGATGGTTGACACCCCTATCACCGTACTTTCTTGCTTTTGTATGTGTATTGTGTTGTGACAAGGATGCATCATCTATTTCTTCCATCCGGCTGAGCAGTCTGTTCTGTACTCCCCAACCATTAGCACTTCTATTGCTCTTTCCTTTTCTCCTCCACTCACAAACTCTTAGCATGTTTCTACCCCGGACTCATCGTTTCCACATAGATATATGTTTTCTTGGCCAGTTGTGCTACTCTGCCTCTCCTCCTAAGAATGCTATTTGAAATATAAACAAAGCAAGCAAGCAAATTAGCCCCAACCCATCTTGATTTCCCAACCACTCTCCCCTCCCCACTGTAATCTTTATAGCTAATTCCTCTGATATAGTATTTACCACTCAGTAGAATAATCTCAAATTTCACCTCATTACCCTTGACCCATATTTATGTATTGGCATCTGGAGCCTTAATTGTTGCTTGCTGATGCCTGTCCCATTTAGTTCTCAAGCAAATCGCTGAGCAGTTTTGTTTTCAGCATCTCTCTAAGTTCGAATCTACTGCCCTCCATAGTAACTGATTTTACAGCTTTTTTATTTGTTTTTTTTTTTTTAATTCCAGACCTTTTTCTTCCTATCTCCCCATAGAAAGTGTAATGCTGCTTTGGTTCATCCTGCCTGAAATTAAAGGGATTGGATAATGAATTTGGAAAACCCTCTCCTCAGGGATAACTGAATAACCCCAAAACTCACATTAACTGTTAAATTTAGCTTCCTTTTCCTATCTGATTGTGACAGTTTATAAAGAGTGAAAGTACCTTTTGGTTTTGATTTCTGCTGATTTTTCTCCCTTGTGGTCTGACAGAGCTTCTGATAAGTAGGGAAATGACCACAATAGAGGCAGTGGGGAAGAGAAGCACAGTGATCTCTATGGATCAGAACCTGTCCGATCTGCTCTGGCCTTACCATTTCCCTATTACATTCCCTTTCTTTGGCAGAGAGTTGTTCCTTATATGACTTGGAAGATTTACATCTCCCAAGGTTTCCCCTTATTTGTTAGTGTCCTGATTAACTTTTCTGGCTTCTTACCTTAGGGACTTGTTGGAAGGATTACATGAGATGATATATGTTAAGTGCCTGGTACAGTACTTAATATATACTAAACAACCAGTAGAGTTTCCTCTACCATCTAGGCAATAAATTGTTACTAATATAAATTGTGGGTACCCTACTTCTAATTTAATGAGATGACTTGTAACAGGTATCTGGATGGTTGACACCCCCCATCTATTTATTAGGATTAAAGGCTTGAGATTTTACTCTTGTTAGTTTGAGGCTGAATCAGTTGTTTAGCTCTTCAGAAAGAATTTTATCCATAGGTTCTTCTAATGTTCTTCTCTGACGTAGAAAACCAGTGCTACTATAATGAAGCGCTGCTTTTTTTTTTTCAATGAGTTGGCTTACCTAACTGAAGGAATTTCTAATTCCGAAGAAATCATGAAATTACCAAGCATCTGGGTATAGCAAATAGATGTAGACTTATGTATAGCGTCTCTTACTTTGCGTGTCGGAGGGAGATTTTAGCAGGCTCTATGATCATTGCCATCATTATCTGACATTTACTGAGCATGTGCCACATGCTGGCTACTGTACTAAGCACTTTACATGCATCACCTTCCTTAACCTTCACAACAACACTGTAAGCAGAGAGATTCCATGTTGTTCTCCCCCAGGGAGGCAGAGTAATAACTTGCCCCAAGTGATGCACTAATAAGGGGCCGAGTTCATACCGTGAGCCCCATGCTCCTTAACATTACACATCCTACCTTGCAAGCTAAAATACAGATGTTTCTTTTGTACCATTATTTTGTGTTCACAACCACGAACAGGGGTGCATGAACCAGCTGACCACTCTGCATGTTTTGGCACAGTTCCTTGCCCTTCTGCATGTATGCCTACAGGTATTGTGATGTTGGTGGACTTCTTACTGATGGGAGTTATTATCTGAATGGACAGGTGTGCCACTGCTTATATTCTCTTGGCTGAGGAGGAAGCCACAACCATTGCTGAAGCAGAAAAGCTGTTTAAGCAGGCCCTGAAGGCTGGAGATGGCTGTTATCGGCGCTCTCAGCAGCTGCAGCATCATGGATCCCAGTATGAAGCCCAACACAGTAAGGTTTTCTCCAGGTTGACAAGTTGGAGGATCAGAATTGCAACAACATTGAATAAGTGTTTATGTTGGTTCACAGTGCTTGTTGAAAATGCTTATTTTTTTTGGCCTTTTTAAAGTTTTTCCTTCCCATTAGAGCACAGTACATGATTAATGTATTATCTTTTTATTATTCTCATTCGTGGGCAATTTTTTTTTCTTCCAGTAGATCCTAAGCTCAGAAATAAATATCAGTGAGTTTACATGATAACCTTGACTCTCCTCAGAGTTCTTTCACACTTTTGCTTGTCATCGCTACCCTGGCCCATAGTTTTTAATTCGTAATTGGGAAGATAGATTTAACTGGTCTTAGTATTATTGACATTTTTTAAATCTTATGAATCTTTAACATCATATACTTACTGAAATAGGACAGTTAAGAATATAACAGTTATCGATGATTATGTCAGTATTATGCTCTTGTTTAAGAAGCACTAGTATAGATGGGCAGAGAGAAAGAGCCATGAGTCCCTAATTAATTTATGTTTTAGCATTTAAAATAAGGGCTTGTTTTATTTAAGTTAGGACATTAAAAGGAATTACTTCTACTTTTCACCATGTCAGGCTGTGAGTCCACGATATTTTGTGGGAATGGTATAAGAATAATACAACAAATTATTTCTGAGACTTCCTCAGCCCATCGAATTGCCAATTTGTTGGCTGTGTAAGCTGAACTTGAATGGTTCTTGTGGGAGGGAAGTGTCTTAGTGTCCAATCAAACTATAGATGTTTCTCCAAAGCTGGAATTTCTCTTATCTCTTTTTTCTTCTTCAAACTTGGAGAGTAAGAGTGCCTCTATTTTATTTTTGATATTTTATAATTATATAAAAATGTAAAATTTTATATATAAAAATATTTTTTAATTATATTTTTAGCACTGAAATTAGTTGTAGAAAGAAAAAAGGTACAGTACAGAAACCTATCCATGCTCTGCATCAGTCTAAAAGCTTTTCTGTTTTTCAACTGAGTGTATATGATATTCAAGTCTCTAATCACTATCTCTAGCTTATCTTTTAAAAGTTATATGTAACACAGTGAACTTTGAAGACCTATGTAGTAAATGTCTATTTTGTGAACTAAATGAGGATTAATACTAAAATTGCATACCCTATAATACAATTTAAAAATTTTTCTTTATTTTCTTCTGCAAATTAAATTCTTTCAACTTATTGCCTAAATCTATCCAAAAAATATAATCACATCTTTAAAATAATTTGTAGGTACTTGGCAAATTTTCAACACACATCTTGTTCTCATTGTTTAAAATTTGAAATGTTAGGACTTTTGTCTTAACATCTTTTAATAGCTGCATATTATACATGTACTTAATCTATAACAGGTGTGTCATATTTTTCTAAAACATAGTGCTTTTATTGAGGATTAAGCACATGCATGTTCTCACTGGTCTGGAAACATATCCAAATAGACGTATAATTAAATAAAAGATTAAGATGAGAAGTTGTTAATGTACTTTTTAAGAGCCATTTTAGTGACTCTTGTTATAACTATTTAGCTTGTCAATGCTTCCTCTAACACTAGGGTAGTTTTTCATTTTGTTGCATACTCTATTGTCATATCTGGAATGTGTTATATTGCCATCTAAAATCAACTGCTTTGGGGACCTGGAGATGATTATGATGTCACTAGTGTTAGGGAAAGAATAATATGAAACAGAAGTTCAAGATGAGGCTTCTCCAGACTTAATGTCAAGAAGGAAAAAAAAGTAGTTCATCAGGATGCAACCTGAGATTCACCTCTTTGTATCTTTACCAAAAGCATGCACACTTGAAGATGCTGGAATTCTTGCTTGTAAACTGTATGCAATGTGGGTATGATCATTTTTCCAGCACTCTGTGGCAGATGATTTTATTTATCAGATATTCAGCATTGAGCTCAAGAGCATGGGCTAGTAATCAGTCACATAATTTGACCTTTGGAAGTCTAAGTCTTTTGTCTTTCCTCCCCACGCATTCTTCTATTTGCAAGGTTGTCAGTGCTCTTGCCTGTAAGGAAAAGCCAAAGGGGCAGTCTGCTTTCTCGGAGCTTCTCCTTTAAGAGCATGAAAAAGAGAGACCACTGTGGTTTTTTTTCTTGCTGCTCACCTGAGAGCTCTCCCCCGCCCCTTTCTTGTCTCTTTTCCCTTTTTTTCTTAAAAATTTTTTAAAAATTAATTTTGGTTTATATCTCCCTCTTCAGGACGAGACACCAATGTCTTGGTCTACATCAAAAGAAGGCTAGCAATGTGTGCCAGAAGACTCGGGCGGACAAGGGAAGCAGTGAAAATGATGAGAGATGTGAGTTTGAATTTGTGTTTGGGTATAGTGGCAATGCGCTTGACGCAGTGAAGGAGGATGAAGCCATTGAATGAATCATCATTGCTGAAAACCAATGATGGTGTGGTTGGCCATTGAGTGCTGGAGCCAGACTGGGGTTCAGCTCTAGCTCCGGACTGACTGATGAAGTAATCATGGAGAATTACCCAACTTTTCTCTGCCCAGGTTTCCTCATCTCTAAAATGTGGATAGCAGTAATTTTACTAATAACAATTACTATTTTAAGTTGATCGAGGATTAAAAGGGATAGTCCATGAAAAGTATTTGATAGAATGAAATTAAATTAATTAAATCCTTAACCTTAATTGATGTTCTTATTAGGAAACCTTTGAGTTGAGTAGTAGGAAACCAAGAATAAGATCAACCATCTGTTCTGACTTTTCTTCTATATTTAGTTAAAAGGAAGATTTTGATAGAACTGTAGCCCATAGTCTTAGTGTACTCATTTTAAGCATTTTTTAGATTATTAAATTAAGGATATTTTAGTAGTAGTGGTTGACATAAAAAGAGAGGAAATAGGAGTTTTAAAACAAAAAGAACTGTGGGAAGATACTATTATGTCACTTTAACTCTTGTCTTAAGAGAAACCAGTTAAAAAAACTTTTGCTTCCACCTTCTTTTTTCAATAAGAAATACTTTTCATAAAGTAGCCAGCACTAACCTGAATTGTATGTATGAGCCATTCTCTTTTTAAAAATAGTCTAGGGAAACCTTTGTCAATGCCTCGTTCTTCTGTCTTTCTGAATTAGGATATGTAAGTCAATGCCATTATTTAAAATGAAAAAGAAAAGAAACAGGGGACAGAATACAAGTGGCCTCTTACCCAAGCTTTCAGGCTTCAGAGCAGGGCTGGGTAGCTCTATGAGCCTCTTTTGTTGTCTCTGGAAGAGCAGTTATTCATATGAATTAATTCCAAGTTCTTTTTGGAGGTCCTACACACTAGGCCTGCTCCTGTCTTCTCTCTGTAAGTCATGCGACCATGTGAAGTAGGTCTGTGTTTGGTTCTGGCTACCCTACTGATTAGTAGTAGGGTAGGAATCTGCAGATCTGAGGAGTGAGAGAAGAATAAGGAGGAAGATTCCCAGATAGTTTTGACTGAGGGTGGAAGATGCTTCTGAGGAAATGCCGCTGCGAAGGGGGCGCTCAGGATTACATTATTTTGCTTGAAGGAAGAATTTAAAGAATGTCTATTATGAAGCATAAGTGCTAATCATAAATAAAGGAGATTGCTACGAAGGCACGAACTTGCTCTCAATCTTTTGAACTTGCAGAAATTCCTTCACTGGATGGAGTGAAGAGAATCTGTCAGTCCTTTGAAAGAACTGAGAATTTTTATAAAATATGGGGTATTTCTTTATCTTAGCCCCACCCAGCCATATTCATTCTTTAGCACAGTGGTTCATATTTATTGCTTCTTCTGAACCTCAATTTGCCTGGAACAGGCTTGTCTGAACATAAAGATTTTGGTGATCAACAAAAATCATTATTACATGGTTCAACAGTTTCATCAGAAAAGTTAGCTCATGGCTTCACTTTATTTATTTGTTTTTTTTCTACCAGCTTTATCACATGATTTAAAGTGATGCATCAGGGCTTTGGAAGCCTAGTCAAAGGGCTTCAGTAGCTGCTTTGCCAGCAGGAACCTGGGGTTAGATCCTCTGCCCCACGCTGTTCCCTGAGCACTGCCAGCTGTCGCCCTAAATTCAAAGAGCAAAACCCAAGCCTCCCAAATACTAAGATTTTGTTTTTAATTGATATTATTTTATATTTACAATTCTATTTGTTGACCTAGTCCAAAGGAGAGAGTATCTGGGGTCCAGTGGAGGAATACTGGGAAAGGGGTCAGCAAACCTGGGTGGGAATCAGCTTGGCTTTTCACTGGTTTTGTATCCAGGACGGCCACTTCTCTGTTTTGGGTTTTTCATCCATAGTCCATAAATTGGGAGTAGTGACTTTTACTCGAAAGGGTCATTGAAAAGATTGGTAGAATTAAATGACAATATGAAAACACCCTGCACAGTTAAGTAAACCTGGCTTACAACTCCACCAGCCTCCTCTCCCTTCATAGAAGTATGCCCTCCATTTGTTGACAATCCCCAGATGTACATTTGGCCTGTGTCTGACTTCTTTTTGTTTCTTGAATGTATTAGTCAAGCGACCTCTCGTTTTCTCTATATTTGAGTTTGTGCACGCAACACAATACAGATTTCTTGTGTTTCTTGCATGGCTTTTCTAAAATAAAAATGTCATGTTACTAGACGGGCTGGAGCAATAGCACAGTGGGTAGGATGTTTGCCTTGCATGCGGCCAACCCAGTTGACCCAAGTTCGATTCCTCCACCCCTCTCGAGAGCCCAGCAAGCTACCAAGAGTATCTCACCCACACAGCAAAGCCTGGCAAGCTACCCGTGATGTATCTGATATGCCAAACACAGTAACAACAAGTCTCACAATGTTACTGGGCCTGCTCGAGCAATTCAATGAACAGTGGGAGAGTGGTGACAATGACAGTGACATGTTATTAGACAAGGCTGCCTTTTGACTGGATTCATGGCAAGTCTAGTAGATGTAGATCCTCCTATCATAATGGGCCATTGAGGGACATGGTCAGCTGTGATGGTGATCTTTTGAGGAAAAAACATGTGTCCTCTCCTTCAGAAATTCCTGATTCAGTACTGGCAGGCTACATGCAGGAGGAAAGGATGAGGACACTTCTCACGGAAGAGCTGAAGCTGATTCTGTTCACCCTTCTAGGGGACAATTGTCAGTCAGGCGTGATTCTCCCAGGTCACAGTCTGCCTGAAGCGGGACTTGTCTGTTGTTAATCCCTTTAACAATAGGCACGTAACCGAAACTGCTAGGAAGTTTCCACTGAGAAAACAGAAACAGTACGCAGGGTTCCAGGAGGCCTACTGATAATGCATTTAGACAGAAGGATTTAATTTTTCCCTGATACCTCACCATCCTCTTTCTCCATGTGCATGGGTTGAAACTTTCTGAGAGGAGATCCTAAAGTGGAAATAGAAATACTAAAGTCAGAGTGCCTTCTGTGTAGCAAATCTTTTAAACATTTCTCTGGGAATTCCTTAAGGGGGAAGGAAAGCTGGTAATGACTAAGATACTGGAAAGGATGAAAAGGAATTCCAGGAAGGCCCTGATATAGATGAGGAGCTATTGACACTCTAAGTGAAATACTCTGATGTCAAAAGACATAGGCTCTGTTAATTTTTTTTTTATTTGGTTTGTGGGCCATACCTGGTAGTGCTAAAGGCACTATTCCTGTTTTTTTGCTTAGGAGTGACCTCCCTGGTGGAGTTTGGGCAGAAGTGACCTCTTCATATCAAGGAACACAGGTTGACCACATGCAAGGCAAATGCCTTTACCCCTATACTATTTCTTTGGCCCCACAGAGGTTATTTAATGTCAACTTTATGGCTTTCAATTGTTTGTTTTTTCCTGGCACTACAATCTTAAGGATCACTCCTGGTGGGGCCCTAATGATCTTATTGTGCACTGGGGATTGAACCTGGGTTAGCCATGTGCAAAGCAAGCATATTAACCCACTTTACTATCACTTCATCCCCCAGCTTTTAATGATTTAAAACAACATTTTGTTTTAAATTTGAGTGCTATTTTCAAAAACAAAATGCACACCTTGATTCTCTTCCTTTTGCAGTCAAGAATATGGAGGCATCTTTCTCCTGAAGGGATGTTTTAGCAGTAGGTAGCAGCTAACTAAAAGTGCTCTTAAATTTTAAATGAGGTGTTCTTTATTATTCAAAATAAGGAGAATTTACATTTTCTTCTTTCTTAAATTGTTGTTTGTTTTGGGGCCACATCCTGCCCAGGGCTCACTCCTGGCTTTGCACACAGGGATTACTCTTGGGGGGCTCAGGGAACCATAAGGGGTACCAAAAATCGAACCTTGGTCAGCCATATGAAAGGTAGGTACCCAACCTACTGTGCTATTTCTCCGGCCCCTTCTCTATCTTAAATTTCAAGTAGTCTTTTGTTTTTCATCATTTGCCTCTTTAACATTTACTATATGATGGATTATTTTTTTTTCTATTAAATTTATATCATCTGCTTCAGCTATTCGGTCTAACCCTTTAAATGTACCAGGTCAAAACTGATGAATACAGACTGTCATGAATGGAGTTGGCCTACTTGAACAAACCCAGAAGCTCCTCTTGCTTCACATTATTTGACCTATTTTAGAGTAAATTCCTCTATAGACATTTGAATCTTTGTTGTGGAGTTCTGCTATGCTTTGCAGGTTGCTTCTCAGCTACCAGACCCCCACCTGCTAGATGCATGCATACTCATCTCTTCTCAAACTGACAGCCACAGATGTCTTCAAATATTCCTTAACATTCCTTTGGGGGCCAAAGTATTACCTATTTGGAACAAGTGATCTAGATAAAGGTAAAGGCCCTCCCGTTGATCGTCGATTTGCTCGAGCGGGCCCAGTAACATCTCCATTGGAGACTTTGTTGTTACTGTGTTTGGCATATCGAATACTCTCAGTAGCTTGCCGGACTCTCCGAGAGGGGCGGAGGAATCGAACTCGGGTCGGCCATGTTGGCCGCTTGTAAGGCGAACGCCCTACCCGCTGAAATAACATATGTTACTTAAACATTGTGGTTTACAAAGTTGTTCATAAATACATGTATTATTATATATTACATGTGAGAATACCTCTGTTTTTGCACATGAGAGAGTGAGAGTGAAAAACTTAGAAAAATATATGGTAGAAATCATTTTGACTTGAGAACTCACTGGAAAGGTCTCAGGACCCTAAGCTTCCCATACCTGTCATGAGAGCTTCTTGTTGTTTTTGTTTTTCAGTTTTGTTTTTGGGGTCGCACCCAGCAGTGATCAGGGCTTATTCCTGACTGCATTCAGGAATCACTCTTGACCATGCTCATGGGACAATATGGGGTACCAAGGATAGAATCCAAG